GTGTGACCTCTCGCATCTGGCCTCTTTCATATAGCATCACGTTTGAAAGCTTCGTCTGTATCGTGCCATGGATCCGCGCCCCAGTCCTCCTTTATGGCTGAATGATATTTTCGCTGTATGGATATAGGACATTTTCTTTATCCATTCATCTACTGGTGGACATTTGGGTTATTCCACTTTTTGGCTGTCGTGAATCGTGCTGCTAAGAGCATTCATTCATGTACATCAATTTAGAGTCATCTGGTAATTCTAACTTTTTGAAGAACTGCCAAACCGTTTTCCACAGCCGATGCACCATTTTGTTTATATTCCCACCAGCCATGTGTGAGAGTTCCTATTTCTTCACATCCTCTCGAACACTTGTTATTTTCTGGCTTTTGATTCTTACCATCCTAGTGGTTCAAAGTCATTTCCCATTAATGCTTTCGATTGACGTTTCCTCAGTGACTAATGATGTTGAGCATCTTCCAATGTGCTTGGTAGCCATTGGCATATCTTAGGAGAAATGTCTAGTCCTTCATCATTTTTAAATTAGGTTGTCTTTTTGTTGTTGAGCTGTAAGAGATCTTTATATTGTCTGGATACTAGGCCCTTATCAGATAAGATTTGCAAACATTTTCTCCCATTCCGTGGAGTTGTCTTTTCACTTTCTTGATATTATCCTAAAAGGTACAAAAGTTTTAATTTTGATGAATCCAGTTCATCTGTTTTTTTTTCTTTGTTGCTTGTTCTTTTGGTGTCATATCTAAGAATCCATTTCCAAATCCAAGGTCATGTAGATTTGTCACTATGTTTCCTTTCAAGAATTTTATACTTTTAGCTCTTAGATCCATTTTGAGTTAATGTTTGTTATATGGTGTGAGGTAAGGACCTAAATTCATTCTTTCGACATGACTCAAAACTTCAGAATTAATACTCATAAAAGACAATCATCATTCTCTACAGTCTAGGAAAAAACTTTTGTGATAAAAAATAACTTAAAAAAGAATGAAATATAAATTTAGGAACTAAAACTTAGAAGAAAGCTTAGGGGTAAATCATCATGACCTTGAATTTGGAAAGTGATTCTTATATATGACATAAGCAACAAAAGAAAAAATGTATATTGGCAAAGCATACATCGGATAAAGACCTAGTATTCAGTGTATATAGAAACTCTTACGACTCAAAAATAAAGCAATAAATAACACAATTTAAAAATAGGCAAAGGATTCGAGTGGACGTTTCTCCAAAGAAGATATACAAATGGCCTATAAGCACATGAAAATGTGTTCAACATCATTAGCCATTAGGAAAAATAAAAATCACAACCATGAGATTACTATACCACACCCTCTGGGATAGATACAGTAGAACAAACGGACAATGATAAGTGCTGATGAAGAAATAGAGACATTAGAACCTTTCTACATTGCCAGTGAGAATGTAAGATGGTGAAGCCGCGTTGGAAAACAGTTTGATAGTTTCTCAGAAAATTAAATGCACGGTTACCATGTGATCCAGCAATTCCGCTCCTAGGTATACACCCAAAAGAATTCTGTCTACATACGAACTTGTTCATGAATAGTCATAGAAACATTATTTTTAATAGATAAGGGTGGAAACAAGCCAAATGCCCATCAACAGATGGACAGAAGCAAGAAGTACAGCCATAACATGATACAGTATTCGGCCATGAAAAGGACTGAGATGTCTGCGGCCACGCCACCCTGAACAAGCCCGATCCCGTCTGGTCTCGGAAGCTAAGCAGGGTCGGGCCTGGTTAGTACTTGGATGGGAGACCACCTAGAAGACCAGGTGCTGTGGGTATTTTAAAAAAAAGGACCGAAGTACCCACGTGTGCTACAACATGAATGAACCTGAAAACCTTACTCGAGTGAATGAAACCAGACACCAAAGGCCACATGTTTTGTGATTCCACTGATAGGAAACGTCCAGAATGGGGAAATGCACAGAGACAGAAAGCAGAGCGGTGGTCACCGGGGCTGGGGGGCAGAGCGGGAAGCGACTCGTGGACGCGGGGTTTCTTTTCGAGGCGGTGAAAGTGAAAGCGTTTTGGAGTTAGATCACCGCGACGGTCCCACACTGCGAACGTGCTGAGAACCAGAGTCGTGCACCCCAAAGGAGTGGACTTGATGGTGTACGGAACATCTCCTTAAGTAACTGTTTAAAATATCTTGCATGCATGCACAGGTTTTTTGTTTTAAAATAATGCTCATTTGATGTTTGTGTTAAAAAATATTTTTTTTTTTTAGGAATTTATCATGGCATCCTGCACTGCCCACTAAAAGTAAAATGCGAATTCCACATTCTCACGCGTTTATTGATCTGACTGAAGATTTTACAGCAGGTGAGTTGCACATAATGTAAAATATTTCTTTTGAAGTGCTCAAGAATTATGAGATTTTATTTACTATTTTCTTAGTGAACGTTTTCTTTCGAATTAAATGTTAAAACCGAAATGTGAAAAGGTTACGAGGAAGTCAGTGATATCGGACACCTGTAAAAAGTACTGGATGTAATGAATACGTCTTCAGTTGTTTGTGAACCATATCAAAGTTTGAATTTTCCCCTTATTAAGAATTCATGATAATTTAGACACATATTGCCTATTTCTTTCCCTTTTCATTTAAAAATTACTGTTATAAACGTAATTATAAGAAAAATGTTTAGTTTATGTGTTAAAATTCAAAGACTTTAAAAAATTTTTATTATGAAAATTATAACCATAAAAAAGTAAGCAAAATAGTACACTATACGTGTATTTAATCATCACCTAGCTTCAAAAGTTTCAGGTATGTGGTCAGACTGGCCATCTGTACCACCACCCAGGAGCCCCTCCCACCCAGGGGCTCCTCCCACCCAGAAGCCCCTCCCACCCCAGGCAATTTCAGAGCAGTCCCAAACATCCCATCATTTCATCTGTACATTTTTCAGTCTGTATCTTTAAATGATAGGAATTTTTATTTTTAATTATATCTTTTTTATTTTTTTAATTAAATGTATTGGGGTAACATTGGGTAGTTAGTAATTAAGTTTCAAGTGTACAGTTCTATAATACGTCATCTGTGTGTTGCATTGTGTGCAACACAGTGGTCTCCTTCCATCGCCGTGTATTTGACCCCCGTCCCCTCTGGAACCACCATACCATAATACGTCATCTGTGTGTTGCATTGTGTGCAACATGGTGGTCTCCTTCCATCGCCATGTATTTGATGATGGAACCACCATACTGTTGTCTGTGTCTATGAGTTTGTTTTGTTTGTTCATTTGCTTTCTGTTTTATGTCCCACATATGAATGAAATCATACGGTTCTTGTCCTTTTCCATCTGACTGATTTCACTTAGTATGATGCTCTCAAGATCCATCCGTGGTGTCACAAATGGCAGTATTTCGTCTTACAGCTGAGTAGTATCCTGTTGTGTGTATGTGCCACATCTTCTTTACCCCATTATCTACCAGAGGACACTTAGGTTGTTTCCATGTCTTGGCCACCGTGAATTATGCCACGATGAACATAGGGGTACATCTATCTTTATGAATAAATGTTTTCGAATTTGGGGAGCAGATACCCAGAAGGAGGATTGCTGGGCGACGTGTCCTGAGGGCCTTCCACTCTGTGCTCCGTAGCGACTGCACCAGCTCGCAGTCCCCTTCACACGAGCGCGCCTGAGGCTTCCTCTTTCTCCTCATCCTCTCCAGCGCGTGGTTTCTTGTCTTATCGATAATAGCCATTCTGGCAGGTGTGAGGTAGTATCTCATAGGGGTTTTGATGTGTCTTTTAACATGACCACAAATACTTGTCACTCAGTCGCTGATTTTAATGATTGTTTACTGAGCCTCTACTCCATGAAGCATTGTGCTAGAAACCAAGGATTCAGAGATGAACACAAGATCACTCAACTCAAATGCGATCATGTCACGAACCCCAGTGATGTCATCAGAGCAAGCTGCCGCTCTATTTATACTGTATTCAGAAGTTTAAGGACAGTCTGGTGACGGCCAGAGGGGAGAGCGCTTGGGGGCTGGAAGAAAGGTTAAAGAGGTACCAATTAGTAGTTGATCGACGGTCACGGGGATGGGGAGCACGGCATAGGGAGCGCAGTCAGCAGTAAGGTAATGGCTGGGTGGAGAGCCAGAGAAGAGAGAGAGTAATCGGGAGGACGATTTCATAAACTAAATAAACATCTAGGCAATGTGCTGGATACTCGAAGCTAATAAAAGAAAAGAAAGAAAGAAAGAAGTTTAAACCTGATTTTGAAGCACACCGACTTGCGTCTTAGATGTTTTAGACGCGGCGGGCTTGTCGACCTGAGTGCTCGTTGTACTCGGAGTATTGGCTTGAGCGCGCTTCATGGAGCGCACGAGCTCCGTGTCTTTCTCTCCTTGTCCCCCCTTGGCGGTGTCATGGCTTTAAGCGCCATCCATGTGCTGGTGACTCCCAGATTTGTGTACCTCCAGGCCACGCATCCGACTGCCTACCAGCCGTCCCCACATCTGTGTTCACGTACAATGACACATCTCAGACCGTGTTTCCTAAACTGCATCCCAGATTCACTTCAAAGCCCTTCAGCCCGTGACCTTTCCATCTCACTAAATGGCAGTCCCATCCATGTGGTTCCTCTTGTCACAATGTTGGGGTCACCTTAGCCACCTCTTTCTGTCACACTCAGCATTGACTGTCAGGATATAGACCGTTCTGCTTTCAAAAGGTAGCCACACCCTGACCCCCTCTCAGCCCCTGCACCGTAACCGTGTCTCACTTGACCTGCTCTGGTCACTGTCTCCTGCTTCCACCCTGTCCCCTGCCGTTGGAATTCATCACGCACGCTGCTGCAGCCCGTTAACAATGTAAACCAGGTCATGTCACTCTTCTCAGAGTTTTCCAGTGGCTTCTTCATTGCATCTAGGGAACCAGCCTAATCCCATCAGACGGCCCCCGGGGCCCTCGCGCTCTGGCTCACCGGCATCTCGTCCACCTTCCGTTCTGCCTTCTCGTTCACGGCCTTGTGCCGGCCACGCTGACCTTGTTCCTCAGACCCCACAAAGCGAGGTGTGGTTTCGGGGCTCGGGTCAAGAAGCTGATTCTCCTCCAAGTTATTTTCCCAGATGCACTCACTCCGTACGTGTCGTCACCCGAATGCCATCGGATCCCTTGCAGAGGCCAGCTGTGGTTCACAGTGGCAGCTCCGAGCACTCCCCTGTGCCCTCGTCTGCCTTCCCTTCCCTCCGAAGCCCTTTCGCCATCCCTGGCAAATACAGCATCTACTACGAGACTGTACACGTATTTCATCGTATCTGAAACCTGTGAGGGCAGGAGTCTTTGTGCCCTTCACTGTCCTTTCTCCGGTACCTGGGACAGTGTCTGTCACCAGTGGGGCCTTGATGGGTATCTGTTGAGCAAGTCCTCCCAATTCTGGCAGCAGAACAGAACCGGAAACCAGCTAGCATATTTCGAAGCGCTCAGACTGTTCCTAATTGGTAGGCCTCTTTCAGCTAAAGATTTAACACCAACAAAGGAAGCTCTTCATGAAAATGTCTGTTTGTAAAAGTTCAAACACATATTTTTGAATGGGTTTTCTTTCAAAATTCCGTATGAGGTATTTCAGAACTATATACAAAGCTTAGGAATTTTGGCTGTGGGAATTTTATCTAAGCAGATGTAGAAAATAATGGAGACTTTTTTCAAGAATTCTGTTCGTTTTTCTAAAAATACAAATTAAACCGTTTCAACCCATAAGATATCATAGGTTATCTTATAAATCCCTTCTAAACACATTCAGTTTGAACGGATTCAAATTCCGATGTAAATAATAGTTGATCTCTATCAGCAGAGATGAAGAGGCCGTTTACTCAAAGCTGCAGTCGTGCTTCTGATGTCATCTTGTGTTTTCTGATAAGACTAGGCCACCGGGGAGATGAAGTGACAGGAAGTGCTTTTTGAAAGCATTCTGCAGCTTCTCTGATACTCACACATATTTATTCCGAAACACGCCTGAGAGACGCTTTACGGAGACGTTAGTCTGCCGCAGCAGCCCTGCCCTTGCTCCAGGGGCGCCCACCCCTTCCCCAGTCTCTCCCCAGGAGGTCAGTGGGAGCACCGAATCTGATGATCTCTGCGCTCTTTTTGACAGAAGGAGCACACATACGCACGTAGAGGGCCACGTGGCCCCGCTGACGGAGGCCACTTAACTAATATCAGTAGGCACAAGGCGTACTGTCGTATGTGGCCTTCAGCCCCTGGAAATACTAGGAAAAGGTAACTGACTTCCCAGTTGGATGAAAATTACATGAGGTAAAACAAAATCTTCACATGCTTAGGGAACCATGAGCGTACCCACAGCGCATGAAGAATGCACTTTGTAAGTGTCTGCCGCGTGACGCGGGAGGGCGTCTTTGTGACAGCTGATGCAGCTGGGACGAATGCGAGGTGTCCGGACTTTTTCTCACAGGAACTACTGTCCACTAGGATACGTCTCTCAAAGCGTTTTCTTCCTACAGAAGGAAAATACAATGTAGTTCTCTGTTAAAATTCACTTCATAGTATCGTTCCATTGACCCTTAATCTCGTTTTCACCAAGTTTATTATCTATTAATAGGCGATACCAATTAATTTGCCTCCACCTTGGTGGCGCCTCTCTGCAACCTGTCGGCGTAGCCCTAGCCCTTCAGATTTGCTCTGTGAAGAGAGGGGACACTGATCCGAGCCGGGGACGGGAACTGACGCTCTCCGGACTGTGCTTCCCACTGCGGCTTGGGCCGCTGGGCCAATCTCTGGTTCGTGCTCCCTAGAGCACTGTCTGGTGAGGGGGCTTCATTTCACCTCCCTACGGAGAGGGCGCCGCTGAAATCACGTGAGCTCTTCGGTGCCTCTAGGGCTCCGTGTGGTACACTGGAGAAGGAACAAGCGACCCTTCTCAGATGGTCATTCTGAACAGAACACCTGCCAGTGGATGAAATCTTTCCAGGTCAGAAAGCATCTGACTCATTTGGGGGTGGACTGTCGCCTTGAGGACCTCGTTCGGTGTCTAGTCTTTCTCAGGGAGAGGGACGGAAAAGGCAGCCTGCGTCTCATCCGTATTTTCTTCTCAGAAACAGACTGCTGGTTATCCTCAGGCTTCGCCATGTTCCCGTCGTTAGAGAAGGTGGCCGCCACCTGGAGCGAGCCTGGCAGAAGCAGACTAGACGTCGGCCAGCAAGGTTCAGGTTCGGAAGCTTGAGCTCATGACCCTTCTTGAAGAGGAAGAGTTAAAAAGGTAGAAGGAGATCAGTGGCCACGTTTCGGCTTTCATGAATGTTCCCCAAATCGAGCAATACAGTCGGCACTCGAGTTTTCAAGGAGCATTTAG